GGCTTCTCCCCAATACCATTCAAATGGTTCTCTATCCTCTCCTAAGAGATAGGATTTCTCCAACAAACACCATGTCCTTAAGGTCAGCCCTCAAACTGCCAAAGTTGCTTAGACCCTTGGTCTATATAAGCATAGCCCTCCCTCTTTTTTGAAAAGACATATTCTTTTTTTTAATTGGGGATATATATGTGTGTGTGTGTGTGTGTGTGTGTGTGTGTGTGTTTTCAGAGCCTAAAATTGCATAGGAGGAGATTTCCCATCTTTCTTCTGAGGAGTACCTGGTAGATTTGAACCATGTGTCTGCCAACCCAAAGGCATGGAATTCAAATCTACCATTTACTCTGCTGTGGGAGAAAGATGGGCAATCAATTCCCATACTGCCTCTAAAACCCTGCTGCAGGGTCAGCTATGAGTCAGTTCTGAATCTACAGTACATAACAACAACAAAGCAACAAATATATATATATGTAGATGACAAGACATTTTTAATTGAGATTTTAATGAAAGTTTATAAAGAACTTGGATTTCCATTCATTCATTGTTGCATATTTTCCACCCTGCCCTCCACCCCAGTTTGCTTTTTTCTTTGGAAAAAAAGTTATTTCATTGTTATACATTTCCCCACACCCAGACCACTATACTATGCAGCTCTTATTCTGGACTCTTGGCATGCCAGTAATACCTAATCATATATTCCTTTTATACAGTTCTCTCCCTTATCTGTTTCAATGCTGTGTACATTATATATCCCCTTTTCTTAGTTTTCCCCCCCCCACTCTCATTTTAGTCCTCTTCTAGAATAGTGGCATTATGCAGTATTTGTCATTTTGTGACTGAGATATCTCACTCAGAATAATGTCCTCCAGGGTCACCCAATTTGTTTAATATTTTATGAGTTATTTGTTTTTCAGTGCTGCATAATATTCCATTATGTGAATATACCACAGCTTCTCTATCCATTAGTTTGTTGATGGGCTCTTGGGTTGTTTCCAACTATTTGCTATTGTGAACAAAGCAGCAATAGACATGGGTGTGCATATATCTGCTTGGATGGCAGTTATGGTTTCTTTGGGGTATATTCCCGGTAGTGGAATTGCTGGGTCAAATGGTATTTCTATTTCCAACTTTTTGAAAAAGTGTCATACTGACTTCCATAGTGATTGCACTATTTTACACTCCCACCAACAGTAAATAAGGGTTCTGGTTTCTCCACAACCTCACCAGCATTTATTGTTTGCTGTTCTGTTAAATTTTGCTCTTACTGGGGTGAAATGATAGCTCATAGTTGTCTTGATTTGCATCTCTCTTAGAGCTAGGGATTTTGAACATTTCCTCATGTGCTTGTTCCTCATCTGAATGTCTTCTTTAGTGAAGTGTCTGTTCATATCCTGTGCCCATTTCAGTTGGCTTGTTTTATCTTTTTGTGGTGGACAAGACATTTCTAATTCAACCATTTGAATATGTTCAATTCAATGACATTGATTAGGTTTATCATGCTGAACAACCACTACCTTGATCCTGTTCCAAATTATTCACCCCCATTAGCAGAAACTCAGTTTCCTCTCCGAGCAGTGGCGGCTCCCTCTTTCTGCTCTCCCCAGTCCTGTAACTATTTCCCAAGCTTTGGTCTCTGCTTGTCTGTTTCTCATAAGTGGGGTCTTATATATACATTATTTATCCTTTTGAGACTGCATTTTCCTTTACCAAGCACAATGCTTTCAAGGTTCGTCCATGCTGTGGCATGCCTCAGCATTTCATTTCTCTTCTGTGAGTTGTTTTCCATTGTGTGTACATACCACATTTTATCTGTTCTTCCGTTGAGAGATATTGTAGTTATTCCCTATATTAACTGTTGTGAATTTAGACTGTTGTGAAATATGGAAGGCTTGTAAATTTGCATGTCACAGAGGCCATGCTAATCTCTGTATTGTTCCAGTTTTACAACTTTTTATGTGTTGCTGTAGCAAGTTCCAATATCATGTTACATCTGTTGATTCTTACAGTGTCAATGACCTCTTGAATCCCACATCACAGCCTCTTTTTTTTAATTATTCGTGAGAATCTTTTGATGTATATATGTTATTTGTACAAAGTATGCTACTTGCTTAACAGTGACCTGGATCAAGAAAAAACACACTAAATATCAATATTCAGGGTAACATCAATTGGAACACTTTAACTAAACTATACCCACCATCCAGCATAGATTAGACTTGCTCACAAGTATTTGTATTGCCCTAATGTCCATCGCGGAAAAGCTATCTATCCTCCCCCCCCCCCCCATGGCTGAGAGCTGAGGGGAGCAAGCAGCAGTCATCTGAGTCCATCCTTATTTAAAGGTGTTTGGCCTCTGTTCTCCTTTCTGACATTTTTATTCATTGCCCTGCATCAAGGCTCATAAGGAGCCCAGGTGGTGGTGCAATGCTTAAGCACTTGACTTCTGACTGAAATGTCTGAGCTTCCAATCTACCAGTAGATTGGAGAAAATCCCACAGGAGAAAATCCATCCCTCCCTTGAGGGTGCTAGATTCAAACTGCTTACGTCTGTCTTCCTGATGTTGTATGTGGTGTTGCCAGTAGCTGGAAGTTGACTACAAGACAACTAACAACGACTTCTGTTACAACTGCTGGCACTAATCTGTGACGTCATTAGGTAACTGAGCAATTTAAGCCACCTCTATTGACTAGTGGTGAGGAGTTGTGCTGGCAACTCAGAGGTCTGCAGTTCAAATCCACCAGCTGCTCTGCAAGAAAAAGATCAGCAGTCTTCTCTCTTGTGATTAACTGCCTCTGAAAACCTGCAGGAGGGTCAGCTATGGGTTGGTTCCAAATATGGGTTTGATGACACACTCTAGCAACAATAAAATGAAATTTTAACATGTGTCATAGTTGTATCCTGTCTTCATAACTTTTCAATTCATATACAGAACAGATCATTTAGGAGGCGGGTCTTTATGAGGAAGAATGTGGCATCAGGATTGGAGGTAGAGTCATCAACAATGCATTATGCAGATGATACAACCCTACTTGCTGAAAATGACAAGGACCTGGAGCATCTGCTACAGAAGGTCAAGGACTGCATCCTTCAATATGAACTGAAGCTCAACATCAAGAAAACAAAGATTCTCACTGCTGGGCCAATTTGTAGCACCATGATAAATGGAGAAAAGATTGAGATTGTTAACAATTTCAGAAATTTTCTCCACAATCAATATTCTTAGCACCAGCAGCCAGGAAGTCAAGAGACAAATTGCAGTAGGAATTTCTGCTTTCAGGGATCTCTTCAGAGTGCTGAAGAGCAAAGACATCAGTCTAGAAAACAAGGTGCATCTGATCCAGGCCATAGTCTTCACAATTACTTGCTATGCATTAGACAACTGAACAGTTACTAAGAATGACAGAAGAATTGAGGCCTTTTAGTTGTGGTGCTAGAGAAGAAGGTTGAATATTTCATGGACTGCCAAGAGAACAAACAAATCTGTCCTGGAGAGGGTGAAACGCTGTTGCTCTCTGGAGGCAGGGATTTTGAAACTCCATATATCCCACATACTTTGGGCATGACTGCAAGGAGGGACCAGTCCTTAGAGAAGAATATTATGCTTGTAAGGGTGGAGGGACAGTGCAGGAGAGGAAGACCTTTGATGAGACAGACTGACAGAGTGACTAGGTTAACAGGAGCAAGTGTGTTGGAAACTGAGATTGGCTGAGGATAGGTCAAGGTTCAGAGCTATTATGCATAGGGTCACTATGAGTTACAGGACACATAACAACAACAATCATATTTAGGGAGCTCTGTTGGTCTCATGGTAAGGAGTTGTGCTGCCAACCCAAAGGCATGAGTTTCTAATCTATCAGCTACTTTGCAGGAGTAAAGTGGGCAACTTCCATCTGTGCGATTTACAGCCTCTGAAAATGCACTGGAAGGTCAGCTGTGAATCTGTTCTGACTCAACAGCACACAACAACAGCAACACTTCTTAAATAGTAAAATGTTAGAGCTGGAAGAAACTGGAGATAATCCCTAACTGGATCATCTTCTTCTGTATACAGATGCTGTTGCTGTTGTTATGTGCTGTCGAGTCGTTTGCGACTCATAGTGATCCTATGTACAACAGCCCTAAACCCTGCTCTATCCTGCGCCAATCGCACTGTCTCTGTCACTCCCAGTCACTGATTACCCCAGTCTCTGAATCAATCTACCTCATAGAGGGTCTTCCCCTCCTGCGCTGTCCCTATTACAATAAAAACAGGCAAATTGCCCAAAAAGTAAGGTCCGTAGCATGGGCTTACCTGAGCTTGCATCTTGTAATGGAGAGGTGGTTCACACAGATGTCACCATTTCTTTACATGCCCTTGGTCAACAAGCCATTCACTACAGATTAGTAAATAAGCACAAGTAAGCCTATGCTGACCTTGTTTGCTGGGTAATCCAACGCTAAAAAAGTTATAGGGAGGGTGGTAAGGTGAGAAACTGCTCACCAAACCACAATGCTGGCTTCACCTCTGTTCCATTTCTCCCAATCTGCCCCAAGAAAATAAATAAGGCAAGAAAATGAGTATGTAGTCTTTATTTTCTCTCAAATCTAAGGTAAAGGAAACTCTGGTGAAAGAAATTATCTGCATGATTGATTGCAAACGGGAAGGTCTCGCTTCACAACAGTGTGGTTTCCAGACTCAAAGCTGGCCAGAGTTAGCCAAGATCCTCAGTTGCTCCAGATGAAAGAGCTGTGACAAGTATTTGAAAAAGGAAAGCAGTCCAACACTCAAGTCTTTGTTCTAGAAACACACAATGCTGATGCTCGTCATCTCAGCTGAGGATGCAGGCCGGGGTTCTGCTGGTGGAGAAGGAGGAAACCGACCCAATTCCTCTGGTGGACCCTGGGATCTGCTCAGCGCTCCTGCCCATAGGAAGTAGCCACTCTCCGTGTCTCAGAGCATATCGCTGCATAGGTGTGGATATCTCGTGCCATGAGCCAGCCTCACATGAGAGATGAGTGTGCTGCAGCAGCGTCCAGCCAGGAAGACAGTCCGTGAGGCTGGCCTTCTTCTTTGTGTCCTCTTTAATGGCGGCATGGCCTGGGTTTGACAAAGCTGTGGCTCTTTCACCAGCTACTCCCATTGGATTCCTAGAAGCTCACAGCTGACCTTCCACAGGCGTTCAGCTGTCTCGTTATTCCGGGCCTTTGGAGATACCCAAGTCCTCTTGCAGTCACTAAAGGGCAGAGAAAGAGTGTGAACATGCAGATGTGGAAACTGGGCTAACTTAACTAGCCCCAGCAATAATGGGCCAAAGACTCAGAAACCTCAGTCCATTCTCATCCCAACTTGTGTTGCTCTCTCTCCTTGATAAAAGGAGTAAACTCTAATATTCCTTGACTCCAAGGGCTCTTAATGTGTCTTTGTGTTCCAGACCCCTGAGGCAATCTGGAAATATTTATAGACAAATCTCAGGATTTATTTCTAAATGTGCAAAGATAAAATGCCTTGGTTTAAAAGAAGCCAATTGTTTTGAAATGCTATTTAAAAATGAAATTTTTTTAAAAAAATTTTATTGTGTTTCATTCATGTACATTGTTTTGTTGGGTTTTGGGTTTTTCCTCCCTGATTTATTCACAAAGTTCTAATACAGAGACATTCTCTTGAGGTAAATATCTATCTTTATCCAACTATCTCTATCTCCTTCTAGTTCTCTCTGAAGTCATAAGAATTTTGTGAACATTAAATTGTTGTTGTTGTTGTTGTTATGTGCCGTCGAGTCGCCTGCGACTCATAGCAACCCTATGTACAACAGCCCTAAATTCTGCTCTGTCCTGTGCCAATTGCACTGTCTCTGACACTCCCATCCCAATTATCCCAGTCACTGAATCAATCCACCTCATAGAGGGCCTTCCTCTCCTGCGCCGTCCCTCCACCTTGTTTGTTCTCATAGCAGAAATAACTCAGAGCTGACCCTCCAGCAGGTTCTCCGAGGTGGTAAATGGCATGGGAGGAGATTGCCCATCTTTCTTCCATGGAGCAGGTGGTAGATTCGAACCACATGTCTTTGGATTGGCAGGGCAACACATTACCATTAGGCTACCAGAGCTTTCTAAAGCATACCTCTATATACACATCATTAGTTTTGCTTTTCTAGAGCACTCAGGCAAAACCAAGAGGAAACCTATTGGAGAAGTTAAACTCAAATGTTTTCTACTAGTAGAGAGCCAGAAAAGTTGTAAGCCTACACTCTTTCAAAGGCAGAAAATGAGTTCATAGAGGCAATAAATCGCATGAGAGGAGACTGCCTGTCTTTCTACCACAGAAAAGCAGGTGTATTTGAACTGTGAGTCTGCAGGGTGACACTGTAATTCCTTACCACTAGGCCACCAGAGCTCCCTTAACTCTACCTGGTTGCCTGTTAGTTACTGATATTTCATAAATCGCACACATTTCAGATATTTCAATGTTTGTAAGTCATTCAAAATATCGGCATGTATCTTGTAGTTGTGCCATCCTCACAATTTCTGACATATTTGAGCTCACTGCTGAAGTCATAAGTGTCAATCTGAACAGGACAAATAGTTTGTTGGTAGTTTAAGAGAAAAAAAAATCCAAGTCATAAAAACGCATATGCACATTTATGTTGTTTGTAGTTGTTATGTGCTGTGGAGTCGTTTGCGACTCATAGCGACCCTATGTACAACAG